TATTAATTACTCTTAATTGTCAAATTAAAATAAAAATTTAACCATTTAGCCATCCCTAACAGAATTTAAGATGGCCACAACCATAGCCAATTAGCAATTCTCATTACTGTTCGGCAAAAATAAAATACAACTCCTTGCTCTAAAAACAGCAAAAAAAAAAATGTTTTTCTTGACCTGAATTCTTTGAGAAATTGATATCAGGAGTTTTAAATTCGAACTTCCTTTTTTTTTTTTAACTTGTTCCAAAATGAAAATATAATCTACAATTATGAAGAGAAAAATAAAAATTTAAATTTTTTTAGTATTTAAAATGTTAAAACTTTTATTTAAAATTATTTAGATACTTTTATTGAATCTTTCTTACATAATGATTTATTACAGGTACTTTAATTTTTATTATTACTATGTCTCATATTTTAAATGTCATGAAAGACTTCATAATCTCATCTACAAATATATAATACTATTGAAATCATTAATTTTAATTACACAAAAGGGCAAAAAAAAAAAAATCTCCAATCCTTTTTTTTAAACATTTTAGGCAAATTAAGAAACTAGAAAGGGACGTGATACTAGTGCCTCAATTGCTGAAAATTAGGTTGTCTAAGCATTTTCATTGGTATCCAATCAAATTCAATTCAAATCAAATCAAATAATAAAAGTTTATTGACTTCCTAATCTGTGTGGCATCTGGGTTGCAGATGGGGGTCCACGACTCCATGCTTACACGAAGCAAAAGAAAAAGGATAAATGATGGAGAGTGGTAGATAAACAAAAAAAAATATTTTGTAATTTAAATTATATTCAATTATATAATATGTAATATTAAATGAAAATAAATCTTTAATATTAAAAGATCTTTTTTATCAAATATGTTCAATATTTTTTACTTTATAATTTATTATTTAATATAATCTAATTTATAAAACAAAGAATTATATATATATATATATATCTTTTTTCTTTTTTTCTTTTTTGGTTTACCACCCAGTATTCGGGACTTTACCCCGACTAATCCGGACCCGACCTGCATCGCGCACCTGTGAGTCTCCCAACTGAAACTACTGCGTACACAAAGTCTCGAACTCGAGACCTTACTTAAGCTGAAACAAACTGCTTACCACTTTATTCAACCCTCTCCTTGATGTGTATATATATATATATATATATATCACCACAATCACAGCCTCTGAAACAGATGCAAAGACCACACATCCATATCCGAAAAATTATGGTTACCCAAACTACCAATTTTTTATGGGTCCAAAACTGAAAATATCCTTTTCTTATTGACAAATGAAATAAAAACATTAATTTGCCAACAAAAGGTCATTATTTGGGGGGCCATAAGTTTATTGTCTATTAAAAGCAGCAAAGTATTGTGAGCAGCAGCAGGTCCATTTTTCCACCTTCGTGAAGATAAAAAAATAAAATAAAATAAAATAAAATGAAGAAAATAATTTCTACAGAAAATATCTTGTCAGGACGCAGGAGGTCATTTTCAGTAAAACAAACCGGGCATAACTTCCACAAAAGAAATAAATGTTTTAGAAGCTAGGCAAACACACACTCAACTCAACTCAACCAGCTTGATTTATTTGGATCGAATTAGTTTGGTTAGGATACATTTATGGTTATATCTCTGGGCCATTAGATGACCAAGAAAGAAAAGGACCAATGTGATTTTCAGTGTGGAATAAGTTTTTCCTGACTGAGTAGCCTGGAGGTCAGGACAGGGGCAGAATCAGAAAATGACAAGTTCTCTAGTGATTAAACATGGGTTTGGTACGCCATCACTTCCACCATTAATCAAAGTAGTTTTCCCTAGTTTTGGAAAATTTTAATTGTACCAAGTCAATGACTTATAACATCTCTGGATAATTTACCTTTCTGGTGGCGGTGGATTCAGTTCTTCTGGCTTGGGCAAAAGCTACCTTAGGTATCCCTGAATTGCTATAAAGGAATATCAGAACCCAGCTGCTCCTATACTAACGGTATTTTACAATTTCTAAATGTCTCGTGTATGCAATTACTAGTTTCCCTTCCTTAAGATTATTGCCACAGACAGAGAGAGAAGGAATATAATAGTAGCTTTTATCGAAAACTTACCTTTCAAACATGTTATCTTCCAAAGCAACCAAATAGATAAATATTCAGATGGATAAGCATTCATAAGGATTGTAAATCAAGACAAGCTTCAAACCTCCTACTGGCTAATGTTTTAACTCACAGACCTTCAAAGAACCGCATATGGTCTTCAAATGTCTCCCCATGCCGGATCTTGGTCACCTGCCCATCTTCTTCCACCTGAAACCATCAATTCAAATTCCCATAAGTTATTTTCCAGGAATTTGATTCCAAAAACATTGAAATTCTGATGCTTTTATGGATGCAAGGGTTCTGTACTGATGATGCAGGCATTTCCAGAGCCAAAAATCACAGTAATTTGACAAAAACTGCTAAATGAGATGACTGATATAAACATATGAGGAAGACCGGGTATAAACAAGTAATGTAGTAAAAACATGGAAAAGAAACAAAAAAAAAAAAAAAAAAGGTTCCATAAATATGATGGAAATCATAGTTCATTACCCAGTACTCAGGAGGGCGCATCTTGAGATTGTAAGTTGACGCCATGCTCATGCAGTAAGCTCCCGCATCATGTACAACAAGGCCAGCTCCCTGCAGTTTGGAACATTTGCTTGGGCAAGTCAGTTTGAAACAACAGTGCTCCAACCTTCCCATAAGAATGTAAGACACCATACCTTAGCTGGGGTTGGAAGTTCTCTATCTTTCCCCAAGAAATCTGCAGACTCACAAACAGGGCCCACCACATCAAAAGCGGAGATCTCTGCATCAGGTAGAGATGGAGAAACCAGTTCTATGTGCTGCAATTATCAAAGATTAATGTGTCAATTGCGATCCTTAAAGCAAAACAAATCTACAGTGGCAAACATGATATTCAAGATAGTATTCAAGATACAAAATTTGTTTAGGCAATCCATCATTCACATACATGAGAAGATTCATTAGTAAAAAAAAAAAAAGGAAGAATCTGGAGTGCCATAGGGGTAATGGTCAACCAAAGATAGAAGAAGGTGATACACATGAATTCCTAGGACACTAAAATACTGCTATTGCCACCAAGAAAGAATGTCAAGCTACAGAATTATTTCATAAACTCGAACTGACATAAGTGACCAGTCCGAATGAATTTTCACATGGATTCACCATCCAACAATTAAACAACGAAGCAGGGCTGCCTCAAAAGAGATCATTGCATTTAACCATAAATGATCTAAAACATTAAAACTTTAATATGGTATGCTGGTGGCTGACATGTTGATCACTCCAAGAATAATAAACCATGCCTTTTCAAATGGCAAGGACAATGAGTCAATGACCATAACGAACACATGGTACATACCAAGGTGTTTTACCCTATATGTATAGACTTAAGAGGGAAAAAAAATTAAAGCAATCATAAATGATAATGACTGATAATCTTTGTCTGGTTTACTTAGATACTTACTTGGTAAGCACCATAAAGACTAGGACGGATAAGTTCAGCCATGCTGCCATCAATCACAATGAAATTTTTTGTTCCATTAGTTTTGACTCCAGTAACATGATTAACCAAGCAACAAGTATTTGCAATAAGTGATCTCCCAGGTTCAATGATAAGATTAAGATTTCTTGAGAGGACCAACTCCCGTACCTGCACCAATCACAGATGGAAAATTAGTTGCTACAACAGCAGCTGAAATTCAGCAATTATTGCATTTACATGCGTCAAAGTTTGCTTAAAAGTTTATGCCTATCATTATAAATAAGTTAACCATGTTCTACAAAACTTAAAAACAAAGTATGAATGGAAAGATTGTGTAAAAACAAAAAAATGTGACTTTTTTTTGTGTGTAACAGTTAAATCGACCATAACAGCAATCTTATATAACCATGGAAACTTGTTCAGAATCTTCAGATTTCAATATTTCATCTCAAACATGACATATTTAGATCTCCAATCTCTCGCCAAATAGGCATATGACCTATAACAGAATTAGCTACCACATGCATGATCAAGGATCAAACACTTACGGTGTCAATGAGATCTCTTGGTGTAGGAAGGACTGCACCAGTATGATGGTAATCAATCCCTAAACCACCTCCAATGTTTAGGTAATCAACTTCGAAGCCTTGAGCTCGGATTTCATCGATGTAGTTAACCATAAGAATAGCAGCATCCCGGAATATGTCCACCTGAACAACATAACATGAAACTTCAAATTAAAACATCATGGGGAATAATAGCATGCATATGCAATTCATCATAGAACTAGAGTGGAATGATATAGTAAAAGGCAGAATAAACTAAACTTTATTTTGTTGAGATACCTTGGTAATGGTTGAACCAAGATGGCAATGGGCCCCTACAAGCTTGAGCTCATTAGGATGTGTCTTCACAGCATCCAGAAACCATTGCAACTTCTCATTCCTTATACCAAATTTAGAATTCTTGTTCCCTGTTGCAACATATGGATGCACCTACAATAAAAAAATAGCTTGCTTAAATATCAAATGAAAATCACCTCATGACTCACAACCAAAGTTAAAGTTGCAAATAAATAAATTAGGCAAACAATTTTTCAACTACACCAGTGGATGATCTGTTCTCTCTCTCTCTCTCTACTCTTTATTCCTCTCGTTTTTATTTTGTGCCTTGTCCTTCTTGAATTAAGTCAATCTTCCTTTATAGTGCATTCTTTGGCCATACTTGAATTCCAAAAATCAACAACATCCTCTACACCTAATTAAGATCTCTGTATCATGGCACATGAATTAGAAAAAGAATGAAAATTGTGCATTGTGCAGGAGAGTGACATACAAGCTAATACACCATAATCTTGTATTTCAGGCACATAGAACCCAGAAAAGGGAAAAATTTACAGTAGGTTAGGATAAAATCCAAAGTGATGAGGTGATACAACAGTAGAGATGTTGTGATAGCAGGACGGGGCAAGTCATGGTTAAGAAGGCACGTAGTTATCCATGACATGGGATAATATAATGAACTTTTCTATTCTTTTATTAAACTTAAATTCAACATGAGAAATCTTAAACATTTCAATTCAACTTGCACATCAACCACCTTGACATTTCACAAAAAATGAACACATAATAACCATTCAAAGGTTTTAACCAATCAGTTGATTTTGCATGGTTTGTAAATGAAAAATGTGTTTTTTCTTTTCATCACAAGATTACGAACCATACCTGAGGATCCACATTATGAAATCAATGTGGCTAAAACTTGAGAGTATGGTTACTGCATTACATACCTGAGGGTCCACATCGGGGTTGATACGAAGTAACACATTAACCTTCTTGCCAGCTATCCTTGCTGCCGCTACAATATTCTCCAAATCAAATTCACTGTCAACATTCACAAAAACACCTTCTTGGGCAGCTAGTGCCAAGTCCTCCAAAAGCTTTCCATTTCCATTAAATATACACCTGTTCACCAAAATACCAACAACACAGCAAGGAAAACAATCAAAAAATCAAAATGCCAAAACCCCACTCAAACAACAAAATCTTTCCAATGCAATCAGGAACTATTCAAAATCAAACACCTACACAACTACACAACAATAAATATGAAAACATTCAGACAGAAAAAAAAAAAAAAAAAGGTTTAAACATAAATTTACCTTGTTGGGTCAAATCCAGCACGAAGAGCCAACCTGAGTTCATTTCCACTAACAAGCACAGCCCCACAACCCAACTTCCTCAGATGCTGCAAGATCTTAAAATTGTTGTTAGCTTTAATCGCGTACCCAATAATCGAGTTCAATCCCTCAAGAGCCTCTTTGTATGCCTCAACATTTCTAGTAATCTGCGGCTTGGAATACAGATAAAATGGCCTCTTCTCCAGCCCCTCCATGATGTCCTGCACCTTCGTGTCCTCACAGTAGAGGAACCCATCTGAGGATTTGGTGAAGCAGTGTTGAAATGCCGGCGACTCTTGGGTCGAGGTTTTGGTAGGGTTTTGGGAGAGAACAGCTTTGAGTGAGAGAGGCTTTTGGGGATTTCTCGTGCGCTTGAGCGTCAAGATAGGAACTTGAGCAAATGGGTTCCTCCTTAATGGTTGTTTTAGGGTTTTGGGAAGAGAAGAAGAGTGAGACAGAAGGTTAGTAGCAGCCATTGATGAAGAAGAACGGAGACAGCGGCGAGTGTTGACTGTGCAAGACCAATGAATTAGGAATCCTGCAATAAAGCGTAGCACAAAAAGTTAAAAAACCAATTTTTTTAGTTTGGTGTTCATGACTTCATGCATCGTTGTGTAAAAAAATTAAGAAAAAAATATTAAAATTATCTTATTTTAATAAAATATTATTGAAAAAATTAAAATAATTTTATTTTTGTTATCAAAAATTATGTTGGGTTAGCTGTACTCCATAAATATTTATTAGAATAAAAAAAATACATATGAATCTTGATTTTTAAAAAAAATAAAATTTTAATCTTAAATTACTTTTTATTTAATTAAAATTTTATTTTAGTAAATATTGATATTTAAATTTAAGGTTAAATGTTAAATTTAATCCCTTAACTTTATGAAATGCACATTTTTGGTCCCTCAACAATTTTTTACACTTTTTTGATCTTTTAACTCTAAAGATTACATAATTTTGGCCCCTCCATCAGTTAATTATGATGTGGCAGTTAAATAATATCATGTGACATTTTCTTTTAATTCTTTTGATGATGTGGCAATAATATATTTTAGAATTATCTTACATGGACAAAAAAAAAAGCCACATCAGTTAAATATTTATATTTTAATAAAAAGATATAAAAACATACAAAATGACATTATTAGCCTTCACCATCTCGATCCTTCTTTCTTCCCCTTCCTACCTCTAGCTCGGTGGTTCCACTGAACCCAGATTTGCTGGGTTCGATGGAACCCATATTGCCTGGGTTCCCTCGAACCTAGTTGTTGGGATTGTGGAACCTAGATCGGTTGGGTTTCGACAGACCTAGTTGTTGGATTCGTGAAACCCAGATCGACTGGGTTTCGACGAACCCAGATTGGTTTTCGGATGTTTCTTTGGTTTTTGATTAAGGACTATCTCCTGTTTTTTACTCATTATTCCAAAAAAAAAAAAAAAGGAAAGATTTCTGGGAATGGTTGTTGCATTGAGATTATATTATGCTGCAATGTTATCCATGGGATTTTGAGAATTAATCATGATTTCACCAATAGAAAAGGCAATAACAGATTGGTTAGGTTCGACGGAACCCAGCTCTGTTGGTTTCCATAGAACCCAGCAGTTGGGTTCTATGGAACCCAAATCGACTAGGTTCGACAAAACTCAGCTTTATTGAGTTTCTTCAAAACCCAACTTTATTGAGTTTCTTCAAAACCCAGCTGCTGGGTTTAAAACTAGATTATGTTGATTTCCATTCTTTTTTAAAACTAGGTTTGTCAAGTTCACCATGTTTTCTCATTTTTCTTTCGATTTTCATTTCCAGTTCTTGATAAATTTGGGAGTTGATTTACAATTTGATTGTAGTTATGTTGAAACTTAATTAGGGTTTGATTGACATTATTTATTGAGTTAATTTGATGGAGTGGAGATGAGAGAGCATTCAAAGAAGAAGAAGAAATGGGTTAAGATCGATTTTGCAGGAGTGGGGATGAAAGAGCAATTTAGGGTTTACAGGCATTGCTTTGGCAAGTAATGTGGCGTTCATTTGAATGGATTTGGCACCTTTTGAGTTGTAGGAACATGACATGGCAAAACATTTTGTCTATATCAACACTCTTTAAAATTTTACTTTTCATGTCATAAAAAAAATATAAAAAATGCCACATGCGCAGAGTTAACGGCTAAATTGACGACGGAGGGACTAACGTTGTGCATTTCTTAAAATTGAGAGATCAAAAAAGTGCAAAAAATTGTTAAAGGATCAAAAAAGTGCAACTCACTAAAGTTGAGGGACCAAATTTAGCATTTAACCTAAATTTAAAAACGGATTAAATTCTTGAATTTTGAATTAAAATTAATTTTTTTTTATAATCAACACTAATAAACACTAATCCCTTAAAATAATCTAATTTTAAATATTTTTCATTTGTTATTTTATAAATATAACTCATATACACGTCTCACTTTTGTTTTTGCTGGGCCTTAGGCCTAGGGGATTTAGGGCTCGAACTGTGCAAATCTTCAGAGTTCCCTTATTTTTTTTTCATTTTGGGCTGGAGTATTGGGCTGCACTGTGTAGATCTTCAGAATTAATAGCCCAAAAAGAATTTTTTTTTTTTTTCAGTTTGGCTGCTAGGCCTTAGGCCTATTAGATTTAGGGCTGGCATGTTGGGCTGAGCTGTGTAGAACTTCAGAGTTCATAGCCCAAAAATGGAAAATAAATGCAAAAAAGGGAGAAAATCTCGCCAACAGTATTTATTTCTTTTTAGAAATTAAAATATAATGGTTTATTGTTTGAATACAGTGAAGAAATGGTAAAAAAAAAAAAATTGGTTCATTGTATAAAATAAAATTAAGAAATTTAATTATAGCACAGATAATATTATTCCAAAAGGGGGAAAAATCCTCAAAAATAAAACCGTATTCTCATGAGAAAATTATTTTTTGACAATGAAATCTCACCTAATATAGTAAATAAATAACTAATTCACCATGAATCCTTCATTCCTTCTTGGACAGTAGTCCAATCTTTTTGGACTTTTTTTTTTAATAAAAGACATTTAGCTGCAACAACAATTAATAAGAAAAAAAAATCACTAAAATTAAGAAAAAAAAAAAAGGATCATGTACTTAGTGGAGAATCACTTAAAACAAGCAATTGATAATAATAATGTTAATAATGTTAATAATATTATACCATAAGATCTTGTTCTGAACTTTGTGTTTAATTTTCTTATATTAACTGATTTAATAGGTCTAGTAAAGGTAAGTGATTTTAAACTCAAATTATAAGGTATGCAATGGATTAAAACAGGTGGAGGGTTTTACCAATTGAAAAAAAAGAGTTTGGTTTTATGAAAACAAAATTTTGGACCAATTGTAGGTGCAAATATGGTATAATGATCAGAATGCAATGTGATGGCCATGTAATTATAAAGAAACATTATGGTCTTAAATTTTTAAGTCATGCATACCATTTCCTGGTCAATCTGTTAAAGGAATAGGGAGGAGATGGTTGCCAAGTTAATCAAGTGGTGCTGTTAAAGGAATTGAATGGACTGGCTTGCATTTTGCTATTTATACCTCTCAAAAGCAGGAAGAAATTGGATAAAAAAAATGGTCAATCTGTTTTGGACCCTGTCAAGATTAGCACCAACAAACAAATCTCTCTACACACATCTAATTCTGCCAATAGCATCCTTGCTCTCATGAAATTAATTTGAGGCATATTTGCACCTCTGCATCTCTCTCTTCTCATCCCACAGAAGTCTTGTCATTAGGTAATCTATCCTCCCCTTTTCTCCTTTCCATTTTGTGCTGATTCGATCTTTGTTGAATCCATGTCATGCTTCTTCAATTTCCTGGTATGATGTTTGTTTGTTTGATCTTCATGGGGTGAAAAACTTGAATTGTTTTTTAATCTAAAGGGAAGATATATTGTGTTAAACTGAATGTTTGTTTGTTTGATCTCCATGGGGTGCAGAATTGAACGTTTGTTTGATCTAATGAATTTCTTATGTGATTATAGGTTTAGGCCTAGTAGGCACAAGGGATTAACTCCCTGCATCTTCTTATGAATGCTTGTGCTTAAACCTTTCGCCCCATTTCCAAGCGGGAGCTAAGCAACATTTCAAGGTTTAATCATGGCTGGCACTCTTGAAAGACAAGTTAAAGCAGGTGAATCTACTACAAGAAATCCACGTTTTCTATATTTCTTACACAAATGTTTTGATGATTAATGCTTTCCGGGATCATAGGTCTAGAAAAATCTGATGTAGAAAATTTTGAGGATGAGTGCAAGCCAAGAAAGCTGGGGTCTATCAGGAAGAAGGCAATCACTGCCTCATACATGTTCAGGCATTCTTTGAGGAAGAAGAGTCGGAGACACAGCAGAGTTATGTCTGTTGCTTTCGATGATGACCTTGATGTAGAGGATATTCAGGCCGTAGATGCTTTTCGTCAAGCACTTATCTTGGAGGAATTGCTACCTGATAGACTTGATGATCAGTATATGATGCTAAGGTTATTTTGATTACTTCTTCCTTAAGTTATTAAAACCAAATTCATCAGCTTTGTATTATGTTTCTAATGAAAGTAATAACAGTACAGATTTCTAAGGGCAAGGAAACATGATATTGAGAAAGCAAAGCAAATGTGGGCTGACATGCTTAATTGGAGGAAGGAGTTTGGTGCTGATACAATCATGGAGGCATTAACTTGTTTCTTGTTACTCCTTTTAATGTTGGAAATATCATGGATGTGACTGAAATCTGTCTTCCTTTTGATTTTTTCATTGTCAAGGACTTCGATTTTGAGGAATACGATGAAGTTATTAACTACTATCCACAAGGATACCATGGAGTTGACAAGGATGGAAGACCAGTATACATTGAAAGACTTGGTCTGGTTGATTCTAGCAAGCTGATGCAAGTAACAACAATAGACCGATATCTGAAGTACCATGTAAAAGAATTTGAGAAGACATTTTCTTACAAGTTCCCTGCCTGTACAATTGCAGCAAAGAGACACATTGATCAGAGCACAACCATTTTGGATGTACAAGGAGTGGTATGTCAGCTTATTTTCTGTCTGGACTGTGGAGTGAATATCAGCTTCTGCCACCCCCTCCCTCCCCGTAACACCCAACAAAAATATGCATAATGGTTCTAAGGCCAATTTGTATGAATTATATCTCAGGGACTTAAGAACTTCAACAAGACTGCAAGGGATCTCATTCAGCGTCTTCAGAAGATTGATGGTGAAAATTATCCAGAGGTACAAAATTTAACTCTTCATATCCTCAGATTAATAAGCATGATATTACTTGTTACTCAGAATGAAGCTGACTGATTCTTTTTTATTTTTTTCACTTTATGGTAGACTCTGAACCGTATGTTTATCATCAATGCTGGTTCTGGATTCAGGCTCCTATGGAACACAGTTAAATCATTCCTTGACCCTAAAACCACCGGAAAAATCCATGTAAGTGTCCACCATACGTTTACTTTGAACTTCTGTTGATGCAGTAAAGTTACTAAGCAAGCTTATGAGATGCAAAACAGGTTCTTAGTAACAAATACCAGAGCAAATTGCTTGAAATCATCAATGCTGAGTAAGTCTGATCTTGACCTTTCTTATCTAAATTCATCATTTTCATTGTAGTTTCAAAGTTATTGCTTAAAAGTTTCTCTTTATAAATGTATGCAGTGAGCTGCCAGAGTTTCTGGGTGGTACTTGTACCTGTTCAGACAAAGGTGGATGCATGCGTTCTGATAAGGGTCCTTGGAATGATCCAGAAGTAATTAAGGTAATAAAAAATGATTGTTTTTTGATGTTACATCTATTGTTAAACATGTTAGGGATGATGATTCAACAAGAATTTTGTTTGATGAGGCAGAAAATTCGTTATGGCGTGGCTAAAAACCCAAAGAGATTTTCTACAGGCGCTGAAGAGAAGGCAATCTCTGAAGATGAGAAATCATCTAAGGTAACCTCTCCTATTTACATTGACAAATGCTTTGATGATTAAATGCTAACTTCTTTGATTTACCGGATATGAAGAGAAGTGAAGCTGCTGATACGCATGTGGAATATCCATCACTTTTTCCTCCTGTTAATGAAGTAAGATTTCTGTATTTGAATCAATAGATCAAATATTACAGTTGCTGCTTTCTGATTCCCTGCAAAGTTTTCTGCTTTCTGGATTTCTTCATCACTTAACAAAAGTATTGCATCTTTGTAAATTGCAGGCTAACAAGAACAATATGTGCTTTGATTCTTTTGACAATGAAAAGCCTCCAGTAGCTGACAAGGTTGTAGATGGTTCTTCACTTATTAAGCAACTTTCTACAGGTATATATAAAACTTTTACCGCATGCTAATTCATTGAAATTTCGGATTTAATTAATATAAATGATCTTCACCGGCCAAAAAAGAGTCTAAAAGATCTTCTTTGTCTACCTCTGATGAAAACTGCAGATGATAGAAGGGCTCCCGAGGGAAACAGGCTTGTTGGTGGACTTATGGCCCTGATTATGGGAATTGTCACTATGGTTCGCCTGTCAAAGAATGTGCCCAGGAAACTCACTGAAGCTGCCTTGTATGGCACTTGTTATTCTGAAACAATCAATGGTAGTGCTGATAAGTCTGCCTCCAGCTCTGAATACATTTCCATGGTGAAGCGCGTGGCTGAATTGGAAGAGAAGATGAGTGTTGTTTTGAACAGGCAACAAGCAGCCATGCCACCTGATAGAGAGGAGATGCTGGCTGCTGCCTTAAACCGGGTCAACAACCTGGAACAAGAGCTGTCAGCAACAGGGAAGGTAATTCATTAGACTTATCTAGATTTCAATTCTCAAAGAGAAGAAGAATTCCTTAAAACAGATAACTAAATGCTATGGTTTTTGCATCTGGTTTTCTTTGTGTAGCTGCTTGAGGACGTGCTTGTGAAACAACAGGAGCTTGTTGCCTGCATTGAGAAGAAGAAAAAGAAGAAGAAACTTGTAAGTTACAGAATCCTACCACTGCTTCATTAGTTCAAATTCATTCAGGTTTTAGATAGGGTGAAGACCTTTGATTTAGCAGTTTCTACGATTTTGAATGCAGAAGCCACTCTGCTGGGTAAGATGATAGAAGCTAGTTTCTGTAAGATCTCGATTGAATAGTGTGGTGGTGGTGATGGTGGTGGTGATTCTCAGCCCCAAAGATGAACCCTTTTGAATTCAAACTATGTTTTTGCTTTGTAAAACATTTTAAACCAAAGCCCTTGGACATTATTAATATGCTGTTTGGCATTCTTCTTTGGTTTGTGTATGCGTTGAAAGCAAGTCAGAAACTTCAACCAAATGCATTTTGGCATTTGAAAAGCAGTATAACCTGATATATTATCCTCTGTAATAACAGTAGATGATATTTAGAAATTTTGAAGGGAATAAAGGAAACACAGGAACAATAAGCTCAAAAAAAGTTGGTGATTGATTCCAAGGACAAGCAATAAGCAACAAGTTTAATCAGCCTTTTGCCGTTCAACTAGCAATATTTAAAAAACCTTCATTTTAAAAACCACATGATACAGAGTCCAGCTGCATTCAATCGAAATACTTAATTATTTCCACAGATTATCATTTGCCATCATAGACTAGTAAAATAATCTTCTTAAGTAATTATTCCCTCAGACTAACCTACTCCATTAGTCATTGAGTTTACTTAATTTATAATGTAGCAATGAGTTTAGGTTCAAGGTTTAAGTCTTGACAACCATCAAGTAAATTAATTTCTTCAAATGCACTAGGCCAGTGCACCTTCAGATAGCATGAGTCTGGGGACACCTGACCTTCAGATAGCATGAGTCTGGGGACACCTGATAGTCCAAACCCAAAAAAAAAAAAGGGGATCTGATGATGCCTTTATCTCTTATAACATTTGCTCTTCATGTCTTAGGAAAGTAAGTTTTCAAGAATATACAAGTACCAGTTACTCATTGACATCAAGCAGCCATTGCCCTTTTCCTACTTGTTTCTGATCCTGCAGGTACTGGATCTGGTCCTATAGCATCAAGTTTGCAGGCAACATCCAATCCCAATACAATGGAAACTGTGGAAGACATTGTGATCGTGGGAGTAGGAATTGCTGGCCTTGCCACAGCCCTGGACTCCACAGGTGATGACCCTCAAACACACTTCTGAATTCGGATGTGAAAGCATATATGGTCTGCATGCAGATAAGAATTAAGTCGTTGACTGAAATTTTGCAAGAACTGCAGGCTTGGAATTCCAAGTTCAGTATTGGATTCATCAGAGAGACTGAGGAACACTGGATTTACCTTGAGAACATTTGACAATGCCTGGAAAGCATTGGACGTTCTTGGCATTGGTGATTCTCTTCGCGAAAAGCATCTCCAACTCCATGGGTACCTTTTATGAAACTTCTTATTGAACAAGTTTTGTAAAAGATTTGTATTTTGTTTATAAACTGTCCTGAGAGAACTCATGAGATATGACTGCAGATTGATTGCTACATCCATGGTCTCTGGCAAAATCAATACTGAATTGTTGTTTAAGGAACACGAAATTCGTTGCTTGAAGAGAAAGTTGTTGATGGAAGCTCTAGAAAAAGAACTCCCAAAATGTACAATTAGGTACTCTTCTAAAGTGGTCTCTATCCAGGAAGCAGCCACTTTAAAGAGATCCATCTTGCTGATGGAGCAATCCTCAAAACCAAGGTATAGCCATCTCTGCATATGGAATGATTTATGATTCAATCCAGTCTCTGAAACGCTTTGCCAATCTGTACATGAAAGGTGTTGGTAGGGTGTGATGGAGTCAACTTGGTGGTGGCAAAGTGGCTGGGTCTTGGGGCTGCCACCGGTTTTTACTGGACGATCAGCAATCAGAGCTTATGCAGAAATCAATGATGGTCATGGTTTTGGGGCAGAATTTTCTCAATTTGTTGGCGATGGAGTTCGATCAACCTTCTTACATGTGATGATCATACTGTATATTGGATCATGACTTGGTCTCCCACCAGCCAAGGTAACGATGACTACTCAGCCAATCCTCATTTCTCTTTGAAGCATTTTATCAAACATCATTGATCCTTACTCGAAAGCTTTACGATTTGGTTGCAGGCGAAGACCTAGAAGAAAATCCAAATCAACTAAAGCAATTTGCTCCAAACGTGCTTCAAAATCTGCCCAATAGATTGAAGGAGGTCATTAAGAACACTCCGGTAGAAAACATTGTATCATCCCCATTGAGATACAGACGGCCGTGGGAGATGCTATGGGGAAATATCAGCAAGGGAAATGTGTGCTTAGTTGGTGATGCCCTCCATCCGATGACTCCAGACCTTGGGCAAGGCGGGTGCCCTGCTTTGGAAGGTGGTGTTATTCTGGCCGGGCATCTAGCCTTGGCCTTGTCAAAACTAGGAAACGATGAATGGAACAGACTTGAAATGGGGGCAGCACAATATGCAAGAGAAAGGAGATGGAGAAGTTTTGAGCTCATTGCGGCAACGTACATCATTGGAACTATGCAGCAGAGCCGGGGATAACAATGAACTTCATAAGAGATAAAATTCTAGCAAAATTCCTGGCTGGATTGCTATTGGGGATGGCAGATTTTGATTGCGGTAAGCTCTACTTTAATGATTCTTGAATGTATCTTTACACGCATGAAGTTTATGTAACAGAAGCACCAGCATGAAAATAAAATGGAAGATGCTTAGAGATGACCAAATTATAGCGACAAATATGTAAAAGCTGGTCAGTCAAGAAGTGCACCCATTTTCCATGGAAAAATCAATGTGAAATATAATGAAGAAACGTCCCATGATTGTCGATTTGCATTTACTTGAATAAGTATTGGTGCTTTAGAATATTCTGCATAAACAGAAAATCAAATTGTTCAAAAGAGTAAATCCACTCAGAAAGAGCAACATGGGTGGTTGAAGGTCAAACACTACTGCAGTCCTGCGGAAATGACATGCTTGAGACAAAAGGATGATAAACGCAGCTGCTCCAGCAAAGCATCTCACCAGCAAAACTTCTTTTTCTGGTATTGCAAAGAGAATAATCAGTTATAAATAAAAGAACAAGAAGTGAGAGAGAATTTATTGAGCAAAGCGTAAACCAAAAGGATCAGTCAGACTTACCCGCGATTTGGCTTCTTGTTGACGGTCGATATAAGCAAGTAGTTCTTCTTGCCTCATCAAAGCTTCGTGAAGAGCCTGCTCAAACATAAGCACATATAATTAATCAACAGATTCAACAGGACACATCCATCTGTCTTCAAGTGAAAGCAAATAATGATAAATGTTATAACTTGTGCACTTGTCGTACAAAACATAATTAGAACCCACAACTGTACCTTCTTGGTAGCAATTAGCTCCGCCTCCAGAGCATCAACTCGGCATACAGCAGCGTTCAACAATTCCTCTTTCTCATAAGGCATTTCAGACGGCTTTGCTTGCAGCATGTCAACTTTCTCCTCGAGATCACCCAACCTTTTCAGCACAGAAGACAGCAAATCCACTTGACTAAGAGATGGAGAAGGAGAAGGGGGACGAAACTCCTCCTTTTGTGCCCCAAGATTAGGTTCAGAAATGTTTTCACCAGGTTCGGACATGCTGGGAAGCTTCTTAGTGACACGGAACATCATTAAATGGATGAGAGTAATGATTGTTGTAAATAAGGCCATAAAAGTCACTAAAACCCGAGCACAAACTCCTTCTGGAACCTCCGGAGCCTCAGGTAAGGTTACTGTCTCTGGAAGGAAAAATTGGATTTCAAGTTTTTGAGCATTATTATGGTAGGTAATACAGTCAATGAATTATACTGCAATAAATATCCATGCATCTTTTTGCTACTAGGAAGAATTCATTTACAATTGGAACATTCAACAGAATGGTACAAGGAAAAATTAAGGCTATAACTCATAAATTAACTCCCCAAATTGGAGAACTTTCATACTTGTCTTCTCTGTTGGAGAAAGATTGGCAAGGTTATATAAAATAGGCACAGTTACCCGTCACATGCTGTAATAGTCATAAACCAACTCTCCAAATTGAAGTACTTTCTTAGTAGTCTCTCCAGATGGAGGGAGATTGGCAAGGTTACGAAAGTAACATGCACTTAATACATCTGATCTCTCTGGATGCTAAAATTGGGGGAGGGGAGGCCAGAGAGAGAGCTTTGCTAACCTTGGGTAGCAGGCCTCTGTAGGGATGATTGATTCTTCCAACCAGAATCAACAGTTTTGTCAACCATAGGAACATATTCATCATAACCTGAGAAGTTACCAGCATAGCACGTTTTCCCAACCATCTTAGCCTGCAAAATTCATGAATGCATACTGAGAGGATTAGCGACTTCTGCAAAATCCAAATAAATATTAATTTGGAAATTGAACCTAGTTCATACCATTCTCAAATTAACCAACCCTGTATATCAAAGCAGAATTTTATCATGAGAATTCTTAGAATCCAACAATTAATACATACTCATCAAAAAGTATTCTCATCCAATCATTATGACCCAAAAATAAAAATAAGACTTTGGCAACCATAAATATTCTAAAGTTCAAAACATACTTCTTCACGGACAGGTGTCAACTGAAGTTGGGTATAACTTTTCATTGCTTTTGGTGAAGCCATATCTTCAGCTTCAGATCCAGACTCAGCAGTGGATGTATCACTACCCTTCAGCTGCTTCACGGTACAAGGGATAATAAAGATACTAAATTATTAGAAACAGAGACCAAATGACATTTCCACCTATTTAAGGAGTTATATAACACCCAGAAAGATTGCATACCATTGGATAAGGTGGCTTGGCATAAGCAATAACTTTCCCCTCACTGTTCAAGACTTTAACTACCTGCCTTGCTCGACGTGGCTCACCATTAAGAACCATCTGGAACAATGCACATGCAAACAATTTTCTTCATAAATAAGAACAAATGACTGAGTAAGCCTATATTGTTTACATCATATCAATTATTAGAGAAATATTGAGGTCGGCATATAACCTTGAATATTTCTGGATTTTTCCATGGGCCCTTATCAGACCTAAGGCAACCGCCCTGATCTGTGCATGTGCAGCTACCACCGAAAAATTCTGGCAATTCACTGTATAAATTCCAATACTAAAAGTAAGTTTTGAGATAGAATATTTCATTTTTAACTGGAAAGAGGCTAAAAAACTATTGGATGAACTTGGAATAAGGGAAAAGTTTTGCAGAAGCCATCCACAATCAGAATCATTAACATAAAGCAGAACATAATAATAAAGTATTGTATATCCAAGTCAATACGCCAATCACCTGGCATCAATTATCTCCAGCAATTTACTCTGGTACTTGTTTCCAAGAACCTAAAGTCATTCCAAACAGAAAAAACAGAGATACTAAATAAATGGCATGACATGCTAAAACTAAACAGAAAAGAAATTTACAATCATCCAACATAGAGAAGCAAAGCATTTTGACATACATGAATCTTGGAAGTTGTTTTGGGATCTAAAAAGGACTTTACGGTGTTCCAAAGAAGCCTAAACCCAGGACCAGCATTGATGATAAACATTTGGTGGAGAGTCTGCCTCAATTGAAAGGCACATAAACTTCAATATAAAACAATTAGATGAATTATGATAATATATCAAGCAAAAACATTGGGATTGCATACCTCAGGGTAATTGTCACCATCGATCTTCTGTAGTTGCAATATGAGTTCCCGTGCAGACTTGGTGAAATTTTTAAAACCCTGATAAATACAATCGGCAAGAAGAATAAGAAGCGGTTAGCTGCTTCTTTGCAACCAATGTTTGCCCTTTTAACACAACAACAATAGATTATGTAAAACATACCACCCCCTGGACATCTAAAATTGTTGTGCTTGAATCTATATGCCTCTTTGCAGCAATGGTACATGCAGGAAACTTCTCTGCAAATGCTTTCTCAAACTCCTTAACATGGTATTTTAGATACCGGTCCATCGTTGTAACTTGCATGAGTTTGTTGGGATCAACTTTTCCTAACCTTTCAATGTAAACAGGTCTTCCCTCCTTATCAACGCCATGATAACCATGGGGATAATACTTTACAACTTCGTTTAACTCATGGAACTCAAAATCCTGAAAATCAACACAACACATGCAGTGAAAAATACAGTTGACCAGCAATATATTTCAGGGAAATTGTTAACTGTAAGTACCTTCATAATGGTGTCTGCACCAAATTCTTTCCTCCACTGAAGCATATCTGCCCACATGTGCTTTGCTTTATCGATATCAAACTTCCTTGCTTTCAAGAACCTATGTAAACAATAAAAGTAATTTCTAAGATGAGTATATAGGAGGAAGCTACAAATACAAAACTATGTTTTCAGATACCTATGTAGCAGGTTCTATCTTAAGCTGTTGGTTTGACAGGAAAACTAAAATGAAACATTGAATTTAACTGTAAATAGAAAACAAGCCAAAAATGACCACCATAAATGAGAATAAGTAATAAAATCAGGAGGAAGACAGCACCTCAACATCATGTGATAATCATCATGGCTTTCTGGTAGCAATTCATCCATAATTAAAGCCTGCCGAAATTGATCAACAGCCTGTAGCTCCCCAACATCACGAACATCCTCAATGGAAACCGAGCTTACACGGCCACCACTTTTTCTTCTGCCACCCTTCTTTCTGAGAGAGTGCTTAAATCTAGAGGACGCACTTAATGCCTTCTTTTTCAAAGTTCCAATTCTTGTTCGCCTTTCATCCTCAGAGTTCTCGAAATCAGATTTCCTTTCTCTCCTCTCATCCCTACCTGAGAACCCCTCAAAGCCTGCATGAATCATACAATTCAGAGGACATATTTAAACATAACAAACAACGAAAACTTAACAGGCATCTGAACACACAGATATATATTTTAAAACAATCAAGTACTCAGAGCACAGATACAGATCTACTTTCCCCCTTTTCCCCTATTTTTCTTCTGAAATATAGCTCTTGTTCTTCATGACAGCTGAAAATTGTAAAATCATTACGAAAGCTAGACAACAATTCAAGATTTTTTTATGCTGCATCCAAATTTTCTCTTCCAATTCATCAATATTACCTAAATCCCTATCAACCAAACAGGAACTCCAGTAAAACCCTAGAATCGGCAAAGCAGCAGAACACAGAATCATTAAAATCAGTTGAAAAAATCGAACAATCACTCACAAGGCCTGGCGAATCGATCCAGGGGACCCGACATCTACGCTTCTTCAGAGAACTCAAGGACGCCGACGATCTGACTCCGACCGATCGATCAAAACTCAATCAACGCCAACAATGCACCATATCCCACTTCTCATCAACAATCCTAGAATAATCCAGAGAGTTCAACTACCGAAAAACCAGGGAACTGAATTTAGATTTTTTTTTGTTTCCGCTTTAATTCGGTATGACGAAGACGAAAATTATTAAGGGAAGCAGAGAGGAAAAGAGAAGTACCTGTTTGGAAACAGTAATAATTGTGGCGTTGATGCGAGTCGCAAGTCAGATCGGACGGTCAAAAAGCGTCTGAGCCGAATTTTAACTGATCAGGTACAATAGTAACAGATATATTGAAATTTA